TATATAACGCTGAATAACTATATAACATCTAATGAATATCATTAAAACTTCAATTTGAAACATACATTTTATTTATATTATTTTATCTATTTGGTAATAGCTATTGCAAGACGGCTACTCGTTTGCAATTAGAATTCAAAGTAGATTTATTGCTAGCTACAACCTAGATTCAGATATCATAAATCGATTTTATCGCCAGGCTGTCCATTGTGTGAGGAGGTGGGCGCATGAATATTAGGTGAAAAAATGAAAATAGAGTTTTCAATGATTCACATAGTGATTAATATATTTGGAAATACACTCTTTCTAATTGCGTAAAAATTGTTGCGTAACACAGAAAATTACCTGATCCAAAATTAGTCTAAAAATATTACTAAATTACGAAAAATTAATTTTTACTCAAGATGTAACCAACTAATTGGCAAAAGCAATACATATTTTAAAATTCGTGCATTCTCTAGTGAAACAAAAATTTTATTTTGAGTCGTTACCTTTGAGAAATAAGATGAACATTTCTGCAATGAATTTTTCAAACCACTCTGTTATAGCAAAATGGATGCGCACCTCTTCGCACCAATCTAAGTCTACGCACACTTTACCTACAAGTCCTTCTATATGACCTATATCAGCACAAATAGAAATCAACATATGAAACTGCGTTGAATGATGTATAATAAAAAATTTTCTTGAAGGTGATCTTCTGAGCAACAGAAATTACATGTTCATCTTCCATCCGAAAAATGCAATTTTTTATCTTGATGTCCTTTAAAATAAAAAGAAACATGGCCTACTCATTCTTGTGCTTCGACATCACCACTTGATAAAAATAAAGACATTTTATCAATCGTTAATGAAAGAAGTTGTTGAATTAATGTTTCATCATTATTCGATGATTGAATTAAATATATAATAATTTTCAAAATATTTTGATAGTAAACAGATTGAATATGTCCAGGAAATAGAGTTATTTTTGTATTAAGCATTGATTCAAGAATTTTTTGTGGTTCTTTTAAATAACCATAGAGAAAAATAAAACAGGAATTCTTTCAATTAATTTTTTTTTCCGTTATTAACTTACACACAAAATTCACCACAAATCCATGCAGCAGCATATAAAACTTCGTCAACAGTTGTAGAATTTGAACCATGAATAAAAACATGAGTATTCTCAAGAAGAACTGCCTAAAAATAGAAATAAAAAATTTTTTTGTGATTTTATTTTTGACAAATTTCTATCATTGATTACAAGCAAATGAACGAATAGATTCAACACGAACAGCAACATCAAGCATTTGTAAAGATATGAGATTATTATGTTTTGTACCTTCAAGATGAGTTAATTCAACCAATATACTACTATACCTATTTTAATAAATAATGTTTTTTTTATTAATAAAAATTAAAAAAATAAATGTAAACCAATACAACATTAGTTATATGTTGATAATCATTTTGACTACATATTTCAATTATTTTTGAAAGTAATTCATCTCAATAATGTGAACTTTCAGATTTATCCATGTGAACCATTAATTTATGTACGACATCCATTAGAGTTTTTCTTGTTACCTGAACAAAAAAATAGAATTCATAATCAAAATTAAGCTTTTTTCAAATATTGAATGATCAGATTTTTTTTTGTTAATAGTTTTTCTCCATCGAATTATCATACCATCTCAAACAAAAGCTCGATTAATTAAAGAGATCAGTTATTCATGTTTCACTCTACTTGTTTAAAAGAATTTCGAGAATTGATCTAATCAGGCTAATGATTTCGGCAGGAAAATGGTAAGAACTTGGAAGAAGGAATCCAATCGCCGGATTCCTTCTTCCAAGTTCCTACCGTTTTCTCGAGCTTTTTGGCCGGAAACAGTTCGTACTTCTAGACCTAAGTTGAAATTACTAGATTTTTTTAAATGTTTCATCGATAAATAATTTTTTGTGGTTCAAAAACAGATAAAAATAATAGTAAAATAATTACGAATGAAAATCATAGACTAATAAACATAAATCATATTAATCTTTGTTTTTAATGACACATCTAAATCATACAAAGAATTTACAAAAAAATTAAATCGACTAAAACTACAGTAGTCATTGGAAATAAACAAGAGTTTGTAACGATCATTGTTTCATATCAAGTCATAACACTTTTTATATAGGAAAGCTGTCCTAAAGCACAATTTCTATGTAACAAAATAAGAGCTGATGCTCACCGGAAAATTGGAAGAAATTGGAAGCAGAAATTCAGCGGCTGGCTCTGCCCGATTATGACCTGTTCTGATCGAAACTAGGAAAGTCCGACTATAGGATTCCTATTGTTTTCCCAAGTTTTCCGACCAAAAATCTATGGATCCAGGCGCTGACATCATTGATCTGGGAGATCGAGTAGATGAACATTATATAACCATCAGATAGAGATCTACCTTTCGTTGGCATGGTCTGTCTGTCATGACCTGTGTACTTTCTATCAACGTGACATTACTATGCAAAACATCTATTGACCTCATACAGAAGGTCACTGTCTGGCAAAGACAAAAAATAAAATATTAACATAATAATAAGAATGTTTTCAATGTATTTAATGAACTAATTAAAGAAGACATCAAAATCTGTTCTCTAATATGAATGTAAATCAGAAACAATTTCTAGCTCCTGACGTATGAAAATATTTGCAATTTCAAAGATATTTTTCTAAGCAATTATAATAACAGTATGATGTTAAAATATCCGTAGCTTCTCAAAAGAGATACTTTTTAAATAAGCATTTAGCTATTTAAGTACTTACATAGCTATTTAAGTTTTTCATAGCTGTTTGTAAGTGCTTGCTTAGCTATTTAAGTCTTTCATAGCTATTTAAGTATTCGCATAGCTATTTAATTTCTTCATAGCTATTTAAGTACTTACATAGCTATTTAAGGTTTCCACAGCTATTTAACTAGTTGCATAGCTATTTAAGTATTTAGATAGCTATTGAAATCATTCATAGCTATGTATAGTAGCCTCAACAAGACTCATTTGACTGATGACTAATGATGCCAAAGTTCGATTTTGAGAACTTTCTGGTACATAATTAGTCATTGAAGTTTATGTAACACCAGTTGGCCGTCGGTGAACAATAGTTATATTCATAGAATCTTCTCAATATTATATTCATCGAATACTATGCATAAGATATCCTACAACATAACACAAAACCGTAACAAAAAATAATTCCTGCTACATATATATAAGAATCAAATCCGCGAAATGTACTCATAATAAATAATGGGATCTTATTCTAATAGATATCATTGTAATGAAAATCATATTCAATATCTTTCACTAATGCAGTAGCTGCAGAATCTCTTTCTCAAAACCCTCGACATACACAGATGAGTACGATCAATTTCGACAAGTTATCAACCTTTCTAGAATACTACTGTATATCTACGAGTACTTCAGCTGAAAAAAGTTGAAGAGGCACATGCAACTATCCTAATGTTTGTTTTTCCCCCCAACCCCCTGCTCGTACAGATAAGTAACATAGACAAAATCCTTCATGCTCAGTTCAACGGCAATAACAACTTATTTACTACTACTGCTAATCATTAAATACTACTTCGATTTCAACAACTAACCATGCGGATATTTAAAAAACTCGAATCTTAAATAGATACAACAGAACCATTCGAATAGCTATACCACAATTTAAGTAGCCATGTCGACAGTTAAATAGTTCTGAAAAAATTGGATACTTATGCATGTACTTAAATACCGATGTAAATACTTAAACACCTATGGAAAACTTAAATAGCGATTCAGATACTTAAATAGCTATGGAAATACTTAAATAGCTATGGAAATGCGTAAATAGCCATGGAAAACTTGAATAGCTATGAAAAGCTTAAATAGCTATGCAAATACTTAAATAGCTATGAAAGAGTTAAATAGCTACGTAAATACTTAGATAGCTATGGAAATACTTAAATAGCTATGAGAAACTTAAATAGCTATGCAAATACTTAAATAGCTGTAGCTGCATTAGAAAGCTGGAAAGTTTTCACAGTCACTTGTGTTAGACAAAAATTGTAGTATTAGATTAAATTTCAATTGTTGATAGATGATGAATAACACTTCTTTGATGGCAGAAGCACAAAAGAGTACAGTAAGTGGTGTTTGTTCAGCTGGTTTGAGAATAACTACATTGCCTATTTGTTATTGCAATATATAAGTAAATGTAAATTAATAGAAGTAATGAAGTCACCATAAACTAATGCTGATCCAAGTTTCAAGGCCAATATAACAGTCTAAAATATAATGGCAACAATACTTTTGTATGATACATATGTAAGATAGAATATCGTACTGAATAATCACTGAAAGAAGAAAGTACAATTTGAATTTTCATTTATTGAATGTTTGAACTGACCATAAAACGATTTGTTCATAGATCCCAACTGGTTCATGTCTAATATAGGTAATAAAAATACTTGATTCTGATGGAAATGTTTCACCAGTGATTTTATCAGTCCACATAGCATCTATAACATGTGAATATCATCGATAATAAAAAAAGAGAATGTCAGAGAGGCTTACAACAATCAAGACAAATAACTGCTCCAGGAATCTCGCAATAACTCTCTTGTAGCAGTTTTTCACTACTCAGTGTTTCTAATTTCTGAATATTCATTTATGATGTGGATGCAAACAAACAGAGTGAACATTTTTACTGCTAAATAATTCGCAACACGTAGAAGTAAATCAGCAAGTTTACGAATTAACTGAGCACGTGCAGCAGGATCTAACTTACGCCATGGTGAATCATATTGGAAGCCTTTTTCAGCAGCTTCAATTGTTTTATCAAGATCACTCTACAATATTGGAAACAATTAAAATTACACGTACAACGAAAATAATCATGTATATATATTGATACTTTTGTGCCTTCTTCTACTTGACAAATTTCTTCATCTGTACTTGGATTAATGATAGAGAACGGATTCATCTTTGTCTATATGATTGACCTTGATTTATCACATAAGAAGAAAAGAAAGAATGGACATATATTAGCTCGTTCCTTTATCCACTTATATTTATTGCTGTTTCAGTTGCAGATGATGTCTTCAATCTTAATGAATGATTCAACTTATGAAACCGATTTGGTTAAGAGAAAACAATAATTTGATAAGGTAGCACACCTGCGTATGGTAACAAGTCTTCGTGTCAATGTGGTATTTTTTAAAACTTGTCTGATCGATTGGACATTGCGACAAGCGAAGAACAATTTTTCTAGTAATATATATATATTTGATATTGCACTTCACTATAGAACTATTTTACTAACAGGTGCAAATCAGATCGTTCTTAGTATGTGCAAAATCATATTCTTTTGATGTGACTCTATTACTAAAGATCTTATCAGTTCGTTGAATGTGAAACACTCAATATATGAAGGAAGACTTCCAGAACGAAATTGGCACGATGGAAAGAAGGAATTTTTAGAATAGCGAAGATTTCAAGCGAATAGAACTAATTTTCATAATTGTACGCTGGATTTCGAAAGCGTTGTAAATAACAGGCTAAAGCATTCTCTTCACCAATATCATATATCTACTTATGTGATTTCAGTTAACAAATTAACATTTTTTACAAGAATATTATTGTTATTGTTCAAAACTGATACCACTTAGCTGATAGAGAACAGGAACAATCAAAAAATTTATTATATATAAAAACTTCTTTAGATCCGCTATATATATAATCAATAAGCAATGTTTTACAATAGCGGAAAAGAATCGATCACATTTTTCCTTCTTCAATAATCAATTTATTTCTTTGTATTGTATTTCTTTAAAATTTTTTAAACAATAAAATTTTAAATGTTATTAATTATGTATCTTAAATTGAAACTAGATTATGATCATTCATACGAGTTATTACCGTAATTACAAGTTGTTTCAACTGATTGTACGTGGTATTCTATTCTTTGCACTTAAATATTTTATTTAAATTAGTTGTACGTATTAGTGAGACTTTCGCAATGCATGGAAGAGTTTAGAGAGCAAACTACATAAATGTTAGAAAGTTAAACAAGCAAATCCAAATAGCTGTTCTTCATGAAAAATTTGTATTGTTTTTCCTCAAGCAAGTTTAACGACAATTGTTTTTACTTGATAGTATGCTTCGAGATCATATCGACCTAATTCTCTTTTCTCACCTGATTGTTTAAAGCCACCAAATAGTGCTTGATTACATATAGTCTTATAAGTATTCATCCAAATAGAGCCAAGTGTATTTGATGAGCCAACGTAAGACCACGTCTCACTGAAAAACTAGAATAATCATCAATAATCATTTCTTTCAAATTTACTGTCTCCAGTTATCACTCCAGCACCAAGTTCAAAAGTCGTGTCGTTTGCTCGTTTGATAACTTTTTCGTATGAATCATACTTTAAGACTGACATTACTGGACCAAATATCTAAAATTTTTTCATTATTATAGAATCTAATAAAAAAAAACAATGTTATACCTCTTCACGAGTAATTTGCATATCATCTTTTTCATCACTAAAAATAGTTGCTTTTTGATAAATAATCTTTATTATCAACTCGTTCATTACCACATTCTAATTTATCTCCAAACTTTTAACCTGATTTTATAAAATCTAAAATCTATTGAAATTGACTATCATTTATCTATCATACACAAGTAAAGGGAACTTTTCTTTAGATTAAAGAGGTTATTACTTGTGATCCTTGTTCAGTATTAGAATCAATTTGATTATTTGAAAGTCTTATAGAATACTCATCCTCATCCTCCCATGATCAAAGGAGATTTTCTACCGATATGTGAAAAGAGAATAGCTCAGGTGAAAATTATCCTGTATTTGTTACTGACCAAGTTCAAATGTAACACATTTAAGATTTGATGTAGTTGCTGCTTCTCGTATTTTCTTTCCAACCTTCGCTCAAACATTTCACATTTATTTTTTTTTTAGTTTTATTAGTGAATATTTTTACTTCAAGTGAACCAGTACAAGCTACTTTATCAATATGTGCATGAACACTAATTGCATAACCACATTCAGGCCTATCACCTAAATATTCTAATGAGATTATTATGACAAATATCATTCACTTTACCTGGTATGATGTTGACAACATCTGGTGGAAAGCCAGTCAAGATCGTCATGACAACAACAAAGAATAATCGACATGATAATATCTTACCTCTTTGATAAGAGTAGCACAATAAAGTGCACTGAGTGGTGTTTGTTCAATTGGTTTCAGTACAATCAGCTGAGAAAAATATTTCACCTTTAGTATGTTTAAGTGTTTCCACTTTCTACATATTGACTTAGGTTGAGAGAAAGAAAGAGGATCTAATTTATGCCATGGTGATTCAATATCAAAAGCTGTTTGAGTAGCTACAACTGCTTTATCAACATCAGCCTGAAAATCACAATAGATAATGAACCAATGAAGAACATATAGAGATTCATACTCTAATACCTTCTTCTACTTGACAGATTTCTTCTCCTGTACTTGGATTGATGAGAGAAAATGTTTTTCCATTTGTTGCTTTATGCCATTCATTGTTGATAAAGATTTGAGTATATTTAATTTCAACATTCGAAACTATTCAATTAGCCGATGACATCTGAAAAATAAGAGAAAAGACCTGAACAAGAAAAAGGTGTTTTGGTCGACAACAAGTATGATAATGATAGTGTCATCGTTATTTATCTAAGCAAACATACACTTATATATCCCGCTCGCTCTCTTTTATACGTGCACAAACATATACCCACTTTTTGCTTTTTCTCTTATTTTCTTAAGGCGAAAGAGAAAAGACGCTAGAAAAAAGAAAAAGTATATTTTCTTCTTGCCAATATAAAAATGTAGGTTGCATCAACGACAGAACACAAACAAAATATAATGTACAAAACCATGTTTTGTCAACAAAGAAAACGAGCAGCACATAAACAGTCATGATTTTGAATAGAGAAAAAAAAATCTTAGAGAAACGCTGGAACTTCTCTGATACCAAGTGGTCATTTCGTCACATGATGATTTTTCTAATCGATCAGAACAAGATCCCATAGAGTTGATTAACATCAGTTTCCTCTCCGTTTTCCCTAGCGATTACCTAATCATCAGACCATTTGGTTACAAGATGTTTCTCAACATGAGAAACATACAACGATTTTTCATTTTCTATTGTCAGTCCGAAACATTAGATAGTTATCGAGAAAATCCTAATCAATCTCTTATTTATCGAAGTTGATTCAATGACTTTTCAAGGTTTATCTGATCAAGCACAAATTAAAATATTCATTGATATTCCTATTCGAATTTACTAGATAAAGATCCAATCTCTAATGAAAAGTAATCTCCTATCTGAACTAAAGATAATCTTTTCCTTTTAGTTGATTTAATTTACGGTCTATCGACATATGAAGAGTTCTTAGAAAAGTAAAAGTCTAGACTATCTGAATAAGATATTCAATGAAGATAAATTACAAATTGAAGAGTCAAATAGTTTTTCCATTCTTCTTAAAAAGAAAACTTTATTTCAGTTATTCCTTCAATGAATAAAAAAAAACCAATCGGTTCTGTTTATTGTTTTGATATTAATCAAATCAAATGAAATAACATTTGCTCGAAAAAAAACTAATAAATAACGAAACAATTCAATCATCCAAGCAAAGTGAGAGGAAAAAAAGATGTTGATATTTGAGTGTCAAAAATGACATTGCTAGAAGAATCGAAAGTTTATTATGAATTCAATTCTATTATTTCAATGAAAAATATATCGAACTAACTAACAATTTGATTTATCATTTGTTTTTGGTTGAAAATTTTCCTTACTTTTATGTCTTCAGGAGAAGAAAGCAAAGAAATAGGGACATTCAAAGAGTTATTATTTTATCATGCATCTTAGTTGATATTGCAACACCATTATTTGATATCACTAATGGTATATTTATTATTTAATTTTCTATATCAATTTCGAAAGACTTCTAGCAAATGCTCCGTATTAGCCAATAAGAATTGTCTCAACGGTTATCGATGTTACATTGTCAAGGTCGTTCATTGTAGACACATTTTCTTAATAGTCGACATGATGGCGTACAAACTTTTCTGCTGTTATTTTTCCTACGATGGCTAACTGTCCAATGGTACAAAATAAGACAAATTTCTGATGGGAACTGACTTTTGCTATCGAGTAAAATGAAAATGTTATTTTCTGTTTAAAATGTAAAACATTAGACCAACAAAAAAATCATTATTGACTCAGACAAACTTATTGCGAAAGCGAAAATTTATTAGTGATTGTTTTTCCGATAAATGATGTACTTTTTCCTGAAACATATTTCAATCAAGCGAAACGAAAATAAGCCACTTCTTTCGAAATTTCGTACTTAAATCTTGTGATGGACTGTAACAAAAATAAGAAGTATTCCCTTTGGATATTTGAAATGATTCGATCATATTCCACATTTTAATCTCGCACGAATTGTGCTCAAAGATTTTTTTTGTCCGATTCGTGCCATTTCCACATAAAATGGCAATTCAATTTTATTTATCTTTTCATTTTTTAGTTGTAAAAGTAAAAAGTTTACAAAAATACTTATGTCTATCTCTTATTCAGCCGAAAAAGGTTAATTGTGCAGCAGAATATTACGATAGTTGAGTATTAGAAAAGAGCTCATGTGATTCTCACATAGTGCTAATATATGATTAAATACACTTTAATCTCCTGTTTTCAAGTATGAAACTCTCTAGTTTCTATCAAAACTGATTCGAAAAATATTCATTCTTCTTCTAAGTTGAAATGAAAAATAATTTTGCTCCCCAAAAGCTAATTTTTTGGAGAATGAACGATTGAAATCAATACATCTTATGTAGAAAAAATTTTGATTTTTGTATAGATATTGATATAAGATTGAGTTTTTTTTCAAGACTTATTTGACATGATAAAATTTACAGGTAGTCAAAGTATTGGAGCTGATGTATATTTTTTATATGCAAAATGTGCAAGACTAAAAACATTTTGATGTATCGCATATTTCAACATATAAATAAAAATGTTTCATCAATATGATCTATGGCAAACAATATGTTAGTGATGAATACCATTTGAACGAATTTCGATTGTCAGATAATTAAAATCAAAATATTCAATGACAAGCAAAGAATAGAAAAGCAAAAACAACGAGAAAATATATATTAATGATATATTTTGAAGAACGAATTAGAGTCCCACTGAAGCAGAATAAATATAAGATAAAAACAAATTTCCAACGTACAAAAATTTCTTCAAAAATAAAAGAAATTCTTCGAAGATAATTTTATATGATTGTGTTTGTATTTTTCTTTTTATTGATAAGGAGATTATTACTATAAAATTTAAAACGCTATTCAGAAACTCAAGTGGTCTGAACTCGCTTTTCGCTCAATGAAATTAAAAATTATCATCTCGATAAATATCGATTAGTTTTTCATACTTAATTATAACTTATTATTCTGAAAGATATCATTGAACTGTCGCATAAAACATGAAATCATCTCATTTCGCCCTCACATATGATGAAATATCTTTAGAGCAAAAACTTTGAGATGAGAAACGTGTCGGTGACGATGAACGATAATAGAATTGAAATTGTGCAACTGATAGATAGTTCAATTGATCAATTAATAAAACTACATAATTGATTTAGGTCCAATCGATAGTGGATTTCACTTTCAGATTTTTCAAAATTGTTTCGTACGTGTCAAGTTCGTATCGCTTCGAAGGCAATATCATGTGATAAGCCAGGTAATATAGAGAGATCTTGACGCGAAAGTAAACGTAAATGAAGCATATGTTCAATGAGAACGAGAAATGAAGTCAATATAAGATTGGTGTCGGTTTCTTCTATATTGAATACGAGTGATGTGACATTGATAAAACGTTAAATAATTGAATTAAATAATGGCAAATCAACTTGATGGATATATTTATCAAAACAGAAATTGGACGATATGCATATTGGTGGCCAACAAATATTCGGACATACGAAAATATTTGATGTAAAACGAGGTACCATAAAGATATTTCGCGAATATGGACCATCATAGGCAACAAATCAGCGTTTTTGTTCAAGTCAAAATAGTAAACAAAATGAATCAAGAATATTTTCTTCGGGAAAATGTGGTAATGAACATGGAAGATGCAATCGAAAGTTAAATATAGTCAAATGTGAAACAAGTAATTCCCATTTTTGGCGATCAATAAGATCCAGATAACCTTGTGCAATAAGTTCGAAATAATACAGATCAGGTATTTTAGATAAAAATTGTTCTACATGGATAATGGTCTTGTTTTTTACCTTAATTTTAAAAAACAAAGAGTATATATG